CACACACACACACACACAAAACCTCAAAATGGACAAGACCTAAATGTAAAACACAAAACCATAAAAATGCTAGAAAATAACATAGGAGAAAATCTAGGTGAAATTGAGTTTGGCAAAACTTTTTAGATACAACACCAAAAGCACAATCCGAAAAGAAAGAATATTTAAAAATTTGACTTGTTGAAACTTAAAACTTCTATTTTGCAAAAGACACTGTTAGGAGAATGAAAAGATAAGCCACAGACTGTAAGAAAATATTTTCAAAACACGTTTGATAAAAGACTTGTACCCAAAATATACAAATAACCATTTGAAAGATAAGAAAATAACCCAATTAAAAAGTGGGCAAAAGATCTGAACAGACAGCTCACTAAAGGAGATATGCAAATAGGAAGTAAGCATATGAAAAGATGCTCCACATCATAAGTCACTATGGAATTGCAAATCAAAACCACAATCTGATACCACTACACACCTGTTAATATGGCTAAAAACCAAAATACCGACATCACCAACTGCTGGTGATAATGTGGAGCAACAGGAACTCCCATTCATTGTGGGTGTACATGCCAAACAGTACAGTGACGCTGGAAGACAGTCTGGCAGTTTCTTACAGAGATAAACATGATCTTATCATGCGATCCAGTGATTGCCCTTTTTGGTATTTACCAAAATTAATTGAAAACTTATGTACACACAAAAACTTACACAATGTTTATAGCAGCTTTATTCACAATCGCCAAAAATTAGAAGCCACCAAGATATCCTTTGATACACAAATGGATAAACAAACTACTGTAGAATCAAATATTATTCAGTGATAAAAAGAAATAAGCTATCAAGCCATGAAGAGACATGAAGGAAACTTAAATGCATACTGATAAGTGAAAGAAGTCAGCCCAAAAAAGCTACACACTGTATAATTCCAACACTATGACATTCTGGAAAAGGCAAAAGTATAGAGATAGTAAAAATAATCAGTGGTTGCAAGGGGCTTGGAGGGGGAGAAGGAGGGTTGAAGAGGTGGAACACAGAGGATTTTTAGGGCACTGAAACTATTCTGTATGATACTGTAATAGCAGATATATGACATTATGCATTTGTCAAAACTCATAGAACTGTGCAACCCGAATAAACAGAGTAAACCCTAATGTAAACTTTGGACTTTAATAATTATGTATAAGTTTTGATTCAGCAACTATAACAAACACACCACACTAATGCAAGATGTTAACAGTAGAAGAAACCTGAGTTGGACGGAGGCAGGGGCGGAGGAAGGTGTACATGGGAACTCTGTACTTTCTGCTCAATTTTTCTGTAATACCACACTAATGCAAGATGTTAACAGTAGAAGAAACCTGAGTTGGACAGAGGCAGGGGCGGAGGAAGGTGTACATGGGAACTCTGTACTTTCTGCTCAATTTTTCTGTAAACCTAACCGGCTCTAAATAGGAAAGCCTATTAATTAATTCAAAAAAGAAAAAAGACTTGCTGAGGACACACACAGCTAGGAAGTGGAAAAGCCAAGATTCAAACCTATATCTTTTTTGCTCCAAAAAGCACACTTGTACCTCTGATCTTGTGATCTACCATGACTAATTATTTACGTAGTGAATCCATTTTTTAAGGATCACATTTCATGTGGTGTATATTGTACAGGTGACTTTAGGTGAGACAAAAGGCAATGAGGACCTTCTCCTTGGTCATGTCCAGCAGTCCGACGGAGTAGCGTTCGCAGTTCAGATATGTTCTGACTGTGTAGAGCGCCTTGTGAAACTGTCGCTCAACATCTGTGAGCTCCTCAAACACTTTATTGGCTGACCACATGAGGATCTGAAAGTAGATATTAGAAAGAAAACAGTTAAAATACATTATGGAGAGACAGAGCATTAGCCAAAAGAAACCATTAGGTGCCTGAAATAAAATGAATACATGTCACCAGACAGTGTGATTCTATTGTCAAACATGTATACATCCAACAAACTACTCAGATTCTCTAAGTGGGATGATGAGTAGATCTTTGCAAGGGTGTGGGTTTATGAAGGGGGAGAAGCCATGATTGGTCCCCATTGCCCAAATGTTTTGGCTCCAAAGGGCAAGTGCCCTAAAATTAGATGCAGAGACAGTCTCTGGGCACAGGGTCCAGCACTGGTGGCCCACTGGATCCTGCTGGTCCTCGTGGAGAGAAAGCCACATGTCTCCTTTGGTGCATCCTGAGCTAGTCAGAGGTAACTTCCCCTGGAGAGTTAGAATGGGAAGGAACCCTGGAAGCTCTCCATCCCAGCCTCCATCCCTGCATTGTACTGATGAGGAAACAGGTCCAGAGAGTGGGCCAGACTCAGGTATCCTGGCTTCCTATCCTGTTATTTCTCCTTCTGCCTCTGGAAGCAACAGACTTCAGAGGAGTGATTTGCTCCTCAAATCAATGCCTTTACTATGACCTGGGAACTGCTAAGAGCTTTATGTGAGAGCCGATGACTGTTTAATAGTCACGAAAACTATGTGAAGTAGGTGCTATAATTATCATCGCCATCTCATAGGGGAAGAAACCAAGGCCACCCAGGATACAGACCAGAGAAAGCCAAGCCAGCTGTGCATACAGATGGAGGGTTGGGGAGGGCTCAGGGAGGACAGTGAGGGGGAAATCATGACAGGACACCTCGACTGAAGTTGGGGGATCTGCTCCGTGCAGCCTAAACCCCCGTAAGGGATAGACGGGGTCTGGGCTTGTCCCCCAGGGTCCCTTTGACAGAACAGGTCAGCACGGAGCAAGTAATGTCACCTTCCTTTTACCTGGCCTCTTCGGGATTCAACACTGTACAGGTAGTTGGTATGATGAAGTTTTAGGATGACAGAAACAAAGTTGAGGTATTTGGAAAAGACCTACAGATGGAAAAGAACAAATTATGGCTGTGACATCTTTTCTTTAGTTATGCAACAAATAAATTTCCTGAGCCTCTGACTGGATGCCCAGGGTCAGCCTTACCTCTTCATCCTGTTTGGAAAATTCAGATGCGTTTACTTTGTTAACTGCCATAACCACAGCGAGAACGTCCTTGCCCATCACAATTGGGGTTGCCAGCAAGTTCCTAGTGACGTAGCCTGATTGCTTGTCCATGAAGTCAGAGAAATGGCTGTTCTGAAAAAAAAATTATTCAAGTTTGCCAAAGTGGCACAGGATCATGCAGCAGTAGCTCTGGGAATGGTGACAGATCATTCTAATCCAAATTGTACTGACAGATAACCAGGGCCCCAGAACAGTGGTCCTGAGCAAACATTCCCACACCACCAACCATTCTATGACTTCGTAGAATGAAATCCCTTGTTTCAGAATGAGCATTTCACACCTGAGCTATGGCCTATCTAGGTCAGGCTGAGGTTGGGCCAGGAGAAAAGAGGTGCTGTCACAGCCCAGTGGAAAGTGTGGTGCTAGGAAGAGGCGGGGTAGGCACGGGGTCACAACCGACAGAAAGTGTGTGCAAGGAAGGAGAGCCCGGCTGGGATCACAAACATAGTTCACAGAGCTCTTCTCTTAAATTACAAAAGTAAACCATGCACCTGACACCAGTCAACCCATGCACATAACATAAAGAAAAAATAATTCCCTTAAAGTCCTTCCGATCTCACCTATAGAAGGAAATTAGAGTTAACGACTTGGTATGTCTCCTTCTATGCCTTTTTCTATGCTTGAACAAAACTTTTTATTTTCTATTTTTTATAACATTTCCTTTTCTTTTTTTTTTTTTTTTCCCTTTTGTCTTTTTTCGTGACCGGCAACGGATCGCAACCCTCAGTGTCGTTCCCGTACCGGACCGGGACCGGCAACGGGATCACAACCCTCGGCGTTGCACCCGCACCTTGCTCAGCCAGTGAGCGGGAACCGGTCTGTATGTGGGATCCGAACCCTCAGCGGGAGTGCTACCGCGCTCCCAAGCGGTGCACTGTAGCAAGCAGTGCGCCACTGGGCCAGCCCATAACATTTCCTTTTCTAATTTTATATAACACTTGAATCACTTAACAATGCCTTGTGGACTTCCCTCGAGACCGATGCGCGTGGATGTGAACTCGTCTCTGACGTTCGTGCACACTGCTGCACCCTGGAGGCTCTGAGACCCCGCCAGTGTCCTCTACTGATTCCGTCTGTTTATCGTTTTCCCCACTACGAACACACCGCACTAATCATTCCTTTATTTTTACGTTTCCCAGAGTGGAAATCCCTTCTGATGGATCAACAGGTATAAGTTGTTTTTATTTATAGACATGACTTTTGTGAAAGGTTGAAATTCATATTCCCACTGACCCAGTGTGTGCAGATTCCAAGACTTTATACAGACTCACTGAATCGTAATCTAAAGTGGAATCTGTACTTTTAAGTGCCCCAGATAATTCTGATGCTCAACCCAATGGGTGCGTCACTCCTATGGAGGATCCCTAGAGGTAGCACCAGTCACAGAGAAAATGTGTGGGATGCTAAGACAATCACATGCAGCTTCTTACCCCAGATCTCTTCTATACCTTTCCCAAAGTGGAAACACAAACCAGCCATTTATTTAGGAGGCAGCATTGTGTAATGGTGAGGAAGGTTCTGGAGTCAGACTTCCTCGGCTGAAACCAGGTCTCGATTTACTAGCTGTGTGATCCTGAGCATGTTACTTACCCTCTGTGTCCCAGTTTTCTCATCTGAAACTAGGGATGATGACACTATCTACTGCCTGGAGTGTCTGATGTGAAACAGAAAAACACAGTATTGGTAGAGCACTTGGAAAAGTGTCTGGCACACAGTGGGTGCTCAATAAACACCGAGAAAAGAAACCTGGGACTTTTTTGGGCCTTCCTGGATGAGAAGTAGTTCTCTTTTGCAATTACCATTTTGCTTCTGGTTTTAGCTTTTCCAACCAATTCTAATCACTGAAGAAATGAGATGCCCTTTGCTGGATGTAGGCCTCCTATGCCTGGGAGCGCCCTTCCTCTGAGGGCCAGCACTCTGCCCCAGCCACCAAGAGCCATGTTTCTTTCCTGACCGCTTTATCTGTTACTTCTCTTTGCTTTCTGCAGCATCGTCACCCTCAGGACAAGATGTCTCTGGACTTTGTTAGATTTTTTTCCCTTAATCCACTACTTGTCTAGGCCAGCTCACATTCTGTTTTCTTCCTACCTATTACAGATTGTGATTATCTTTGTTTACACAGCAATCCTGGGTTCTGAAGGAACAATCGAAATGCTACCACAAACACGCACCCTGAGATGAAATCAGGCAGCATTTTTCTGCAAATACATTTCACTCTACAGCTTCAGAACGTGATGCCATTTTATTCCAGATTCTAAGCATAAGGAAGTGTTCTTAAATTCTGTCGGCTGTTTTGAGAAAATGGCTTATAAGTTTCAAAATTTAATGCTTGCTTATTATTGCAACTGAAATCCCTGGATAAACCATCCATCAAATTACAGGGAAGGGAAGGCGAGGCTTTTTAATTTCTTATTTCCACTAGCTCAAACAATTCTTAGTGAGGTTTCTCTGAGTAAATCCTGTCCCTTCATGGCCCTTCTTCAAAGAAGCCCCTGAAGGCAACTGGAGAACATTGTTTAGAGCAGCAGGAGGCCTGATCCCTTCCTGGATCTCAGTATTTCTAAATCCTGATTAAACACCATTAACTTGTGAGATCAAGTAAAGGAAGAGAGACAAGGGGGAAAAAGGAGCATAAGCACCAGTTAATTATTGCAAACTTCGACCTTCTCCCATGGCTTTCTTTTAAACCACAGTCAGAATCAGGACCACCCATACAGTTAGTTAACGGACAGCTTTTCCAATAGAGAAAGAAACAATTATCTTGAAGGGGATATCTCCCAGTTTCCTGTTGTTGAAAGTCTTCCTGCCTTTAGCTTGTTTTAAAACAGGCGATACTCATTGACCCTTTTTCCACCACCCATACCCGGTCCCCACAGCCTTCCTGGCATAATGATAATATTATCATAGCTGTCACTTACTGAGCATCTCCTATGGGTCAGGCACTTTATGTACATTTCTCAGGTGCAGAAACTCAATTCATCACACAGTTACTAGGTTGAAGACCTGGATCTGCGTACAAGTCTGATGCCAAAACCCTCTTCCTATGCCATGTGGCTTTCCTGTTACCACCCTCATGGTCGCCCCAGCGTGGGGAGTATCTGGCTCTGATCTTTACCTAGGTGTGAGAAGTCTTTCGCTCATCTGCGCTCACAACGCTAACCAGAGAAAAGTCATGTGTAGTCAGTGGTGCAGTTATTGTCCCAGACCTGCACATCCTGACTGCCTGGCCTTGAGAAGATTCCTACTATATAGGATGGAAATAAAAATATGGTTCCTGCCGCCCCAACAGGGTCTTTGTCAGAATCAAATAAGATTAAGAATGAGAAAATCCTTTATAAGTTGTCCAGTGCAATGACAGGTGTAGAATTCATCAGAAATTTCATTTGAAACCTTGGTTCGGCCTCCTTTCTCATTGCAGATTTCATTGCTGCAGCCATAGCAAAGTGAAACTGCAGGGATGTGGGGTAGGGTGGAAAGAGCACCAGACACAGGGGCGGGAGCCCTTGACTCCAGCTCTTCTATTCACTGACATGTGCCATGGACTCCGGGGGAGATACAGCTCCTGTGACCCCACCATCCTGTCTGCCGCAGGACAGAGTTGGGCTAAAGACTTCCTAAGCCTTTCCATCCATAATATTCACAGTTGATTTGAAATTCACTTCCTCCTCCTGTATCTGCTCACCCAATAGACGGGTGGTTTTCAACATTGGCTGCATATTAGAATCACCTGGGGAACTTTGTAAAAATACTAATGCCTGCATCCCAACCACTGAGAATGTGCTGTCATTGGACTATTGAGAATCTCAGACATGAATATTTTTGCAAAAGCTACCAATCTGAGTTTAATGTACAGCCAGAGTTGAAAAGCACTACTCTAAGGGGAAAAAGTGTCTAGAAGCAGGAGAAATAGAAAGCAAATGAGGCCTTTGTCTCCCCTCTGAGATCAGGAAGGTATCTATCTTCAATACAGCTTTCTCTGTCCCACCCAGAACAGCCAGGAGTCCTCAGGAAAGGGAGAAGGAAGAGACACCCCCTGCACATGAACTGCCTGCCCTGTCCATGCAGTGACGCTCACCGTGGACAGCTGCAGACCAAAACCGCCTCATCTTCTAAGCAGCTGCATTCTATTATTTTCTCCTCAACATGGAGAACTGGGGTGGTGTCATTAAAGTATCACAGCTGAAATCATTTTACCCAACGCTTCTTTTAAAAATTTTTGGAAAAAAAGCTCTCGGATGTAACTTTCTTAAGTTGGATGTGCTAGTCATTTTGGAGATGGGCTGGGTTGGAGACTGTCGAGAAGTATCTTCCCATGAGCAAGTCTCAGGGTGTAGGGACCTAGCCTTCCAGCTGGTGTCAAGAGAACTTTGACTTAAGGGCACACATCAGTTTAGTCACCTGAAGCAGCTGCAGTGGGCCTTAAAAGCAAACTTAAACTAGCTTAAACTTGCTGAAGGAAGAGGCATAAAGGACTGAGGACCGCCAACCATTGCCCCTGAGGGGTAGCCCTTGGTTGTTTGCCAAGTGTTGCTAATATTTGACAACTTTTGCACCTCCTGGGTCTTCACCACCCTCCTCCTGTAATCAGCTTCAGGAGGCATTTAGGGGATTATCTTCCTGCTGCTCCAGCTGCCCCTATTCACATCTGGTGATAGACCCCTGCACAGACAGCATTTCAGGGGCTGCTCCCTATACAACTCCATTCTGTCAAACTCCATCTCTCCCCTTTTGTTAATAGGAAATCATAATAATGGGACACATGCGCGGAGAAAGGGCTGCCAGGAGACACCCCAGGCTGGTACCCATGATTATTGCTGAGTGGAGGGATTATGGGTGATTAGCATTTTCTCCTTTTTGTTTATCTGTATTTTATAATTTTTCTAAAATGAATATATTTTGCAATGGTAAAAAAGAAGAGTTAATTTTTCTGTTTTTATAACAGGCACTACAATACCTTGTGTCTGTGCAGTATGCTGTTGATCCTCAGGAGGGTCCAAATGTCCCTTTTACATGACTGGAATTCATTCTGGATAGATCTGAGTTATGTGGGGCAGGGGGGCGGTCAATTGCACTTCACCACCTAAATTCACATTTGTAATGATGCAAACACATCACTTTCAAGTGGTATCATTTTTTCTTTTTGCACACTTGGTCTATAGATGAAAGAATCAATTTATGAGCCAATCCATCCCTAAGAACTGAATGTCCTCATAGGGTTGTGAATGAGAGTCCGGGAGAACAGTTAGCAAGTCTTGGCTCCTGGGCATGTGGCTGATCTCCCTGTCGGGGGCTTGCTTGCTGGTGTTATTCAGAAGGAAAGCCCCCAGAGCACTGGAGAAGGTACAGGCAGTGGGTGTGAAATGTACCTAGCCCAAGTTGGATTGCCTGATAAAATGCCAAACGTTGCATGGGACATACTTATACTAAAAAAAAAAAAGAAAAAAGTTCACTGTATCTAAAATTTAAGTTTGACTGGGTATCTTGTCTTTTAGGCAGTGGGTGTGAAATGTACCTAGCCCAAGTTGGATTGCCTGATAAAATGCCAAACGTTGCATGGGACATACTTATACTAAAAAAAAAAGAAAAAAGTTCACTGTATCTAAAATTTAAGTTTGACTGGGTATCTTGTCTTTTTATTTGCTAAATCTGGCATTCCTAGGCCTGGATGCTCCTCTTCCCTGAGGCCTGCATTCCCTGGGTTATAGCCGAACCAATGCCATAAGGATGGCGTCATCTCTCTTTCCCACTAGTGCCTCCCTCACTCTGCCAAGACATCTGCCCCACTGTCATAAGGCCACCTACCTTTTTCACATCTGGGACATTAAGGGTCTTCTTTGTGTGAGCAACCCAACCCACTATCCCGATGTCCAATGGAAACACAACTTCTTTATCAGGGCCCACCAGATTGTCCTCAAACTTGGAGGTGGGGGTGACATCCAGCAGCCTGGAAGCCACCTCTGGTGTGCCGTTGCGGGCCCGGCACACAAACATGCTGCAGCGGTCGGCGTGCAGCAGCTGGGCCAGCCTCTGCAGGACCTTGTGTGCCGCCAGCTCTGGGCTGCCCCCGTCCTCCTGCCCAGTCAGCAGCAGCTCCAAGCACACGGCTGACTCCTCCACCTGCGTCAGCTCAGGGAAGGACATGCTGGCCTGGACCGCCACCCGGCTGTTCTTGAAGATTTCTCCCAGAGTCTCCACCCGCAGCTTCCTATTGAAGTACTCCTTGGCGAACTGAGGGTTCTCCTCGAGGTATTGCTCCACAGCACCTTGGCTGATCTCACCCATGGTGTGGCTTGCTTCACTGCTGTTGTTCAGAAAGGAAGACCCTCAGAGCATCACCTGTGGCAGAGTAACAAGAAGAAGACACATCCTGGCCAAAATTACTGAGGAAACCCAAACTGGTACCTCACAGGACCCCCAAAGATCGAGCAGAATGGGTGCTTAGCAAAGCTTTCAAACTGCCTGTGCCTGCTGTGATGTGACAGGAGACACATACTGGCCAAAATTACTGAGGAAACCCAAACTGGTACCTCACAGGACCCCCAAATATCGAGCAGAATGGGTGCTTAGCAAAGCTTTCAAACTGCCTGTGCCTGCTGTGATGTGACAGAAGGCACTGGCTTAGGGTGGGATTCAGGAAGCAGAGGATTAAAGAGTTCTTCAGGACACTAAATCCCTAAGCATTATTAGCTCGTAAGTCCTCAGAGAATCCTCAGAGCATCTTAGATCAGCCGGCAAGTGGCAAGTTGAAGTGTCTTTTCCAGAAGAACAACTGACCATTGACTAATGTATGCAGCAAGGGAGAATCACGGACATATCCATTAATTACATGACGTTGGTACCAATTGGCAATTCAAATTGTTCTTGCATGAGAACTATATGAAATGAGACTATTTAGACCTCAGAAGTGCTGGTGTTTTTTGTTTGCTTGTTTATGCGACAACTTTAATGGACATTTGGGGTGACAGAAGGGTTTTGCATCATACAACATAAAAGCGTGAAAGTTGTCAGAATCAAAATGGAGTCACATGTGTCAAACTCTAACAAACTCTTAAAAAATAAATAAAGCTGGGAGCCTGAGAAGGGAGGGCCCTCAAGCACACAGGCCTATCATAAGAACTATTAAAAAGACTCTCTAAGCACATATGCCCGTAACAAAAACTTTTGCCAAGCACTTTTCAATCTGTAACTTGTGTAACTTGCTAAATGAGTCATAAGGACAGTTAGCCAGATGCAAAAGAACACTTGCCTGACAGTTTTTACTAATGAATTGGTGTCAACTCCTGCAATAAGCCCCTGAAACCAATGTTCTCTGTTTCAAAAACAAATTACGTGTCCTTTTCTCTTTTGCCTTTAAAAATCTGTGTCTTCCTTTGCCTCCTTGAATATACACATAGTTGACTATGGCATGCTGTTGCCATGGCAATGTTCTAGTCCCAGTTTAACTCATTATGCTTTCAGAGAGCCTCCTTCTGTTATTATTTAGGTTAACAAAAGTAAGTGTTAATCTTTCCTGTTCTTAAAAGTCCTTTGATCACCAGGTTGTTTGGCCTACATTTCTATTAGAACCCCACCTCTCAATCTCCCTCACTTTAGAAAGCTTGACCTGGGAAGTGTTTTAAAGGAACAAACCTTGGGCTTATTACTAAAGAGGTGAACACAGCAAAACATGTGCCTATGATCAAAGCCTAATCAAGCCACAAATTAAACAAAAACCTTTGTCAAGAGACGTGATTACAACCCGTGTGGTTGCTAACTGGGTTTTCTGCTAAGCATATTCGTTTGAATTCTGCAGTCAATAGTAATAGCCAGACATCATGCATTTTGCTCCAAGGTACAGTCTATTTATTCTACTAGACAATAGCTGTCTTGCCTGTTGCTAGGATCCTTAATGTCTCAGGGGCTACTGGCATGGAAAGAACACTTACCACTACTTAGTTTTGTTTAATGTTCAGTTTATTAAGCTTTTACCTCTATTAAGCACATTTCCCCAAATATTGAAACACTATTATGCAACTAATAAGTCAAACTACACATTTCATGAACCGGTTGTCTTGAATATTTAAATGCTGCTTTCAAACTTAATCAAGGTCTTTTAAGCATTTCAATAAAGTCACAAACCTAAAATGATAAATTCTCTTACATGAAAAACACATAACATGTTACAGTGACTCTAAAAATTATTACACTGACATTTAAGTTTCCTTAAAAAATAGCTACGTTATGCATTTAATTTAATTCTCTAAAGTTAAAGCATTACCTCACTAGAGTGATAATAATTTTATTAGTCACAAAGGAAAAAGAGATCCATTTAGGTCGCAGGTTCTGGTCATTAATTGAGAGATTCTTCGTTGGAACATGGTTTTCCCAGGGGAATGCAGCTCACACAGTGTTTGCTGAGCCACTTCTCATGGTTGAGCTTCTCCTGGTGCCCCAAAGCATCTTATCAGGTGCACACATTTTCTTGTACCTCCCTATGTCATCAGGTGCACACATTTTCTTTTTTTTTTTTTTTTTTTTTTTTTTTTTTTTTTTTTTTTTCATGAACCGGTTGTCTTGAATATTTAAATGCTGCTTTCAAACTTAATCAAGGTCTTTTAAGCATTTCAATAAAGTCACAAACCTAAAATGATAAATTCTCTTACATGAAAAACACATAACATGTTACAGTGACTCTAAAAATTATTACACTGACATTTAAGTTTCCTTAAAAAATAGCTACGTTATGCGTTTGATTTAATTCTCTAAAGTTAAAGCATTACCTCACTAGAGTGATAATAATTTTATTAGTCACAAAGGAAAAAGAGATCCATTTAGGTCGCAGGTTCTAGGTCATTAATTGAGAGATTCTTCGTTGGAACATGGTTTTCCCAGGGGAATGCAGCTCACACAGTGTTTGCTGAGCCACTTCTCATGGTTGAGCTTCTCCTGGTGCCCCAAAGCATCTTATCAGGTGCACACATTTTCTTGTACCTCCCTATGTCATCAGGTGCACACATTTTCTTTTTTTTTTTTTTTTTGTCTTTTGTCTTTTTTCCGTGTCCGGCAACGGATCGCAACCCTCAGTGTTGCCCCCGTACCGGACCGGGGACCGGCAACGGGATTGCAACCCTCAGTGTTGCTCCCGCGCCTCGCTCAACCAGTGAGCGGGAACCGGTCTGTATGTGGGATCCGAACCCTTGGGCGGGAGCGCCACCGCGCCTCCCAAGCGGCGCACTATCTAGTGCGCCACCGGGCCGGCCCCACACATTTTCTTGCACCTCCCTATGTCACGCCCAAGTCTAGTCTCAAGAAGGTCCTCCTCAGGTGACTATTTACTTCATAACATCCTATTCATTTAATTAGAGCACTGCAGAGGTGTTGTCAATCAAGTCACCCCCACCCCACATCGGACCATCATCTTCTAACACAGTTTTGGACACTTCTTCTACCTGGTTATTTTGAGTGACAATGGTACAGTTCCTTCTTCTCCCAAGAGTATGTGATGCGCTCACAATTCTCTGGTTCCATCCGTCTAACCAGAGAGAAACACATATTTGTATTCCATATGCAGATTTATACTTAAGAGGAAAAACAAAATACTCACATATGGTAATTTTCTCCTACTTATAAAAATGAAAATTAATTTGAAAAAGAAACATATTCTTTTAGTCAGCATTCGTTTTTATAACTACTCATAGATTCATTCATTTGCTCACTCTTTCAACACACATCTGCTGATTGTCCTTTATAAGCAAAGCGCCGTGCTAGCTACCACGGTAGAGACTTCATGTGCCCCTTACATGCTGCTTCTCTCCTCCCAGTTATATGGGAAGATTACTCTTTGCACTTCCTCCCCCGGTACAGCCATATGACTAACTTTGGCCAATGGATTGTGGGCAGAAATGTCACTTCTGGAGAGGAACAATTAATCATTAGTGTGAGACCCTTCAGCATTCTGCTCCCCATGCTGCCACATCAGTTTCAGATGGAGGGGCCTCCTGAATCCCAGAGGGAGGATGTTATGGGACAGAGGCCCAGGTGGAGGTAACAGCAGAAGCAACAGCTCAAGTGCAGGGTGATTTCGGGAGAACAGATAAATCTGGAAAGTCAGGCTGGGCTGAGATTACAGGGACCTCAAAGGATAGACTGAGGATTTTGAATCTTGGAAAATTTTTCAAGTGGGAAGTGACATTATTAAGGTTCTTCTTTACAAACCTAATCTGGTAGCACTGACCAAGATAAACTGTCAGAAAGAAGTATTAGACATTGGGATACAGATTAAGAAGCTGTATTGCATTTGGCTCATTATCAAACACCCTAAAAATGTGTATAGGCTTTGACCCTACAATTCTGCTTTTATAAATTTATCTTACAGAAATAATTAAGAATATATGTGATTCATAGAGTTACAAAGGTGCTTATCATAAGCGTGGTTATAAGAGACTAAAAATAGCCTAGATATTCAATAACAGGAGGTGAATGAATAAATGGCATTATTTCTACAGAATAAAAAACTGTACAGTAATAATAACACCATTGTTAAAGTCTATTAATGTCATGAACAAGTATTTATGATGCACAGTTAATTACAAAATAGTATTGCAGTATGATTCCATTAATACACACACATACACACACACAGAGGTATATACACCAAAAGTTGGCAGTATTCATTTCAAAGGGGTGGGATTCAAGACATTAATTATTTTCTTCTTTTTTGCTTACCTGATTTTTCTAAAGTATCTATAAAGAATATAATAATTTACATAATAAATAAATTCATTCATAAACAATGTTTTTAAGGCAATTTCCGTAGTCTATGGGTGAAGGTGCTTGGGAATGGAGAAGTAAAGGGCAGATGTGGGACACAATCTGGAGACAATTGATAGGATTGGGCAATTGATTAGTCAGAAGAAGCAAGAGGCTGGCCAGTTAACTCAGCTGGTTGGAGCGTGGTGCTGAAAACACCAAGGTCAAGGGTTTGGATCCCCATACCTGCCAGCCACCAAAAAAAAAAAAAAGAAAGAAAGAAAGAAAAAGCAAGCAAAAAAAAGGGGTCACTGGTGGCAACTCTGAGTATTTGAGTATTATGGACTGAATGTGCCCCCCCCCCAAATTCGTCTGTTGAAATACTAATCCCCAAGGTGATGGCATTAGGAGGCGGGGCCCTTGGGAGGTGATCAGGTCCTGAGGGTGGAGCCCTCATAAATGGGGTTAAGTGCCCTTATAAAAGGGACCCCAGAGAGCACTCTAGTTCTCTTTCTACCACGTGGGATACGATGAGAAGATGGCAGTCTGCAGCC